AAGAAAGAAAGAAAGAAAGAAAGAAAGAAAGAAAGAAAGAAAGAAAGAAAGAAAAAAAAAGAAAAAAGAGAATTACACAGGCTAGGAGATGGAGTAATGGTTACATCGCTGGACTCCCATGTAGTCCACCACAGTTCGAGTCCCAGACCCAGTGGCTTAAAACTCACACTGGATGCATGTGCGTGTGTGTGTGTGTATGTGTGTGTGTGTGTGTGTGTGTGCCCCAAAATCCCAAGAGGAGACTGGAGGAGAAGGGATTGCAGCGTAACCACCCCAGCTGGGGGGTGATTTCTGTCTTTCTGTCCCTCCAGTGAACGCATGTGCCCTATAGCAAAAAATCTCTCTAAAAACTCCCAAGAATTACAGAAAAAAGTTGTGGAATGTGGAAGAAGGTTCTCTATTGCATTATGTGATGGGAGCTGTGGGCTGGGAGGGGGGTAGGGTTGGCCGGAACACAAAGCAGCCCTGTAGGGAGCGTGGGTTAGACGTGGGGCGTTTCAGAACTGGTGTCACCCAGGAAGCTCGAGGCCCTTTGAGAGCAAACCAAGCAACATTTTTCCACAGCAGGTAGAGTTTTCATTGCACTTTACGTGCGTCTCTGTGCTTCTCCAGGGGTGAGGGTATGACCAGGCTGTGGGGAGGCAGAGGGCCCAGAGGGGACAGCTTCACTGCTCCTGCGAGAGGCTCATGAGTGGGGGAAGGTCGGAAGTTCAGCTTAACTAGAATGGAGGAGGCTATTTCAAGGGTCAAAGGCCAGACCATGGCAGGATGCTAAACATGGGGACAGGTGTGGGGGAGGAGGGAAAGTAACCCTCTTTGGGGCAAAACACATACACACACACACACACACAACGTATTCTGGACTGTGGGCTGGTGAGATACCAGAAGACTCCTTTATTTATTTATTTTTTTAAGGGACTTTCTTGGTATAGGACGTGTGTGCTCCCAGAGAAACAGAAAGACAGAAAGCGAGAAATCACCCCCGAGGGGGGATGGTCACGCCACAATCCCTTCTCCTCCATTCTCTTCTCGGGATCTTGGGCGCACGCACACACATACACCCGGTCTGAGTTTAAGCCACCGGGTCCGGGACTCAAAACTGCAATCGACTACATGGGAGTCCAGCGACATAGCCATTACGCTAACAGCTGGTCCCTTTTTTTTTAAAAGGTGGGTCCCTTTTTTTTTTTTTTTTTTTTTTTGCCACAGGGCACATGCACTCACTGGAGAGAGAGAGAGACAGAGACAGAAGGAAAGTGAGAAGTTTTCTCCCCCATTCTCCTCCTGTGATCTTGGGCATGCATGCATCTCCCCAGGGAGATGGCCACGCTGCAATTCTTTCTCCTCCACTTTCGTCTTGGGATTTGGGTGACGCAAGCACATGTGCCTGGTGTGATTTTGGAGCAGCAGGATCTTGCATTCATACCGCTGTCACCATGTGGGAGTCCAGGGCCTTAACCACTGTGCCAAATGCTGGCCCCTTTCTTCTGGTTTTTTTTTTTTTTTTTTTGGTGTTTGTGTGTGTGCGTGTGTGTGTGTGTTTACTTTTTTTAAGGATTATTTATCTAGGGGCCAGCAGATGGCTTAATGGTTATGTCGCTGGACTCCCACATACTCGAATGTGGTTTGAGTCTCGATCCTGGTGGCTTAAAACTCACGCTGGGTGCCTATGGTGTGCATTCTCAAAATCCTAAGAGGAGAATGGAGGAGAAGGGATTGCAGTGCGGCCATTCCCCGGGAGGTGATTTCTCACTTTCAGTCTCTCTGTCCCTCTCTGTCTCTCCAGCGAGCGTGCACACCCTATAGCAAAAATCTCTCTTTAAATAAAAAGTATTTTTAATTTACTATAGGGCACATGTGCTCACCAGAGAGAGATAGAGAGCGAGAGAGAAGGAAAGTGAGAAAGCAAGCTGCCAGGTCTGGGACTCGAACTGCAGTCAGCCATGTGGGAGTCCAGCGCCTTAACCACTTCTTTTTTTTTTTTTTTTTTAATCAAGGGACTAAGAACATTTTCAAATGGTAATGAGCTACATTGCACAATTCATCCTAAGGGACAGATAGAGCTTCTGGGGTTTCAGCCTGGGCTGGAAAACAAAACAAAGAGTGATTTGCTTAAGTCACTGAGGGAGTGATACTAGATCCGCGGCAGGGGAGGGGAGGGGAGGGGAGGAGAGAGCCGGCTGCATGCATTCCCAGTCCGAACCTCAGGCCCCCCTTTAATGACACAATGACACTGTTTTACACTGGGTACACACCAAAGGCACCCGAGCGGGAGGGGTCTGGAAGTAGCGGAGGAGTATGAAACTCTGAAGTCATGGCCAATGTGGTCTTAATTTTCCATCAGGGTTACTGAGATATGATCAGAGAAGGACGAAATTATCATAGAGATGGTGTTCCATTTGGAGAGCAGCCCTTGCAGAGGTCAGCCCGGGCCTGCTTTCCCTAAGACACTTGTTACCCAGCACACGACGACCTTGACCTTCGCGACGGGATTTGCATGTGGAATTATGATTATGTACAAGGTAGGGACCAAATTCTGTATACAGATACTAACATTTTTCTTTTCTTTTTCTTTTCTTTTCTTTTTTTTTTTTTTTTTTGGAGAGGTTTTTGCTATAGGGTGCATGTGCTCGCCAGAAAGACAGAGAGAGACAGAGAGACAGAAAGCGAGAAATCACCCCCCCAGGGGGGATGGCCATGCCGCAATCCCTTCTCCTCCATTCTCCTCTCAGGATTTTGGGCACACAGACAAATGTGTCTGGTGTGAGTTTTAAGTGGTGGGATCCTGGACTTGAGTCACAGTTGACTACGTGGGAGTCCAGTGACATAACTATTATGCCACCTGCTGGTCCCAAGATTTTGTTTACTTAAATCTTGAAGGGCCTGGGGACCTGGAGGTCTCCTCAGTCTCCAGTCAGGGCATTGTCAGGATGAGGAGCCCTGTTAGATGGCTCACACCTTATTCCTTTGGTGAGCAGTTACAGAGAACCAGGACGTGTCGGTGCTATGAGTTTTTTCATTTAATTTATTTTATTTTTAGGTTTTTGCCATAGGGCATATGTGCTCCCCAGAGACAGAGACAGAGAGACAGAAAGCAAGAAATCACCCCCCCAGGGGTTATGGCCACACTGCAATCCCTTCTCCTCCATTCTCCTCTCGGGATCTTGGGCACGCACGCACACGCGCCCGGCGTGAGTTTAAGCCACCGGGTCCGGGACTTGAACTGCGGTCGACTACATGGGACTTGAACTGCAGTCGACTACACAGGAGTCCAGCACCTTACCCACCACACCACCTGCAGGCCCCGGTGTAGTAGTGTTTGTTTTTATTTTTGGAATTCTTTATTTCACTTTATTGTTTTTTTAATTTGCTATAAGGCATGTGTGTTCATGAGAGAGAGAGAAAGCGCGCGCGCGAGCGCGCGCGAGCAAACCGCCAGGTCTAAGGCTCGAACTGTGGTCAGCCACGTGGGAGTCGAGCTCCCCCACCGCCACGCCGCGTGCTGGCCCCTGGCGTGAGGGTCTTTGTGGCGAACGTTTACCTCCAGCCAGAAGTCGGCGACGTCGTGCACGATCATCACGAGGGTCCCACTGCGGATGTAGTTACTGCACCAGGAGAAGCTCATGAGGCTGATGGCCGCCAGGTGGTGCACCACGTGAGCGAAGAAGTCCTACGTCAGAGGCAGGGGAGGGAAACCATTAAGCCAGCCCCGCTTACTTCCCAGTTCCTGGAAGAGGACAGTTATCACCGTAATAATAAACCCGTAATGGACACACGCATGGCTTGAAATGTATAAAATGCTTTCGATTTTATTCTCTCTCTCACTTTTAATAAGTTTTTGTCATAGGCCACATGCCCTCGCCAGACAGAGAGAGACAGAGAGAGGGAAAATGAGAACTCATCCCCCGAGGGGATGGTCACACCACAATCCCTTCTCCTCTGTTCTCTCAGGATCTTGGGCACACGCGCACATGTGCCCAGCGTGATTTTGAAGCCACAGGGTCGGGGAATTGAACCGCGGTCGGCCACATGGGAGTCCAATGATATAACCACTACACTATCTGTTGGTCCCCTGAAGTGTGTTTTTCCAGTTAGTGGGTCTGGGACTCGAACTGCCCCATCCAGCCACCTTCACCACCACTTGGCCAGCTGGCCCTCAAACGCCATTTACTGAAGCCAACTTCGTTGATCTAATATTGAATCCGACTTAAATGTACGTATCGTGCAAATTTCGCTATAAACCAGCCCCTTTACTTAGGGTGGAGCACCTGACGTGCAGGACAAGATGGTTTATCATTTGATCTCCGTAGTTCACGTATGTGATGAAACCTCGGGCCTGCATTCAGGATTAGCGTGACTTGCTGGGCCAGCAAACAGGAGCCGGGATCAAACAGTTCCCCGGATGACTCACTTTGTCGCCTTAGAGGAGACAATCAATGACTGTGTCCCTGACTCATTTACCCTGCACATCAGGCAAATGATTGGCTCATCGGAAAACTCATGATGCATTTTTCTTTGGGGTGGGGGGAGAGGTTTTTGCTATAGGGCGCGTGCGCTCGCCAGAAAGAGAGAGACAGAGAGACAGAAAACGAGAAATCACCCCCCAGGGGAGATGGCCACGCCGCAATCCCTTCTCCTCCATTCTCCTCTCAGGATCTTGGGCACGCACGCACACGCGCCTGGCGTGAGTTTAAGCCACCAGGCCCGGGACTCGAACTGCAATCGACTACATGGGAGTCCAGCGACATAGCCTTTATGCTAACTGCTGGTCCCATGATGCATTTTTTTTTTTAAACAATTATTTTATTTAACTTTACCCATTTATTTATTTATTTTAATTTGACCAGAGAGGGACAAGGTGAGAGAGAGAAAGTGAAAAAGGAAGCCACCAGGTCCAGGACTCGAACCGCGGTCAGCCATGTGGGACTCCAGTGCCCTTCACCACCACGCCACCTGCCGGTCCCAAGTCATGATGCATTTTTGCACAGGAAAACATAGAAAAATATGTCATGACTTTTCTAATGACCCAATAATAATACTTGATGTAGGATATCCTCCCAAATATTTTTGACGAATCAAGGGGGAAAAAAAGTATTCAGAGATTTTGAAAACATCTAACTGTATTATATAAAGTGGGTGGTGTGTATTCAAAAGATGTGATTGCTGAATTAAACTACACACACGTAGGCCTGCAGGTAGACTGATGTTTATGGTGCTAGATCCCACATGGCCAGTCACGCAGTTCAAGTCCTGGACCCGGCAGCTTGAAAACCACCCTGGGCATGTGTGTGTGCGCGAATCCAAAATCCTGAGAGGGGAATGGAGGAGGAGGGATTGTGGTATAGCCATCCCTGGAGAATGATTTCTCATTTTCCTTCCCTCTCTCTCTCTCTCTCTCTCTCTCTCTCTCTATTGAGTGCATGTGCCCTATGGAAAAAAAAAAACATTTCAAAAAAAATCAAAAAATCAACCATCCAAAATCTAAACACACCTTTATTCTTTGCATTGAAAGACATTGAATTCAAAGCCACAAAGAACAGACTACATAAAGTGAATTTCTCTTTCTTTTTTTTTTTTTTTTTTTTTTTTTTTTGCTATAGGGCGTGTGCGCTCGCCAGACAGACAGAGAGATACACAGAGACATTCTCTCTCGGGATCTTGGGCACACATGTACACGCGCCCAGCGTGAGTTTTAAGCTACCGGGTCCGGGATGCGAACCACAGTTGACTACGTGAGAGTCCAGCAACATAGCCATTACGCTAACTGCTGGTCCCCTTTCTTAAAATTGTTTTGTGTTTTTTTTTAAGAGAGATTTTTGCTATAGGGCACATGCACTCCCCAGAGACACAGAAAGAGACAGAATGTGATAAATCACCACCACCCACCCACCCATCCCCGCCAGGGGGTATGGCCATGCCGCAATCCCTTCTCCTACATTCTCCTCTCAGGACCTTGGGCACGCACGCACACGCGCCCGGCGTGAGTTTTAAGTCACCGGGTCCAGGATTCAAACTGTGGTCTACTTTGCGGGAGTCCAGCAATGCAGCCATTACGCCATCTGCTGGTCCCAAGCAGATTTCTTACTAAAAAGGAGTGGAGAGTGGAGCAGGTCAGCTGGTGGAATGGCGGCAGGATCCCATACGACCAACTGTGCTGTTTGAGTCCTGGACCCGGTGGCTTGAAAAACACACTGGGTGCCTATGAATGCATGCCGGGAATCCAGACAGGAGAATGAAGAAGGAACTCTGGCACGGCCATCTCCCTGGGGGGCGGGGCAGTGAGTTTTCACTTTCTCTCTCACTTTCCCTCTCTCTCTCACGCTCTCCCCAACTCCCAGTTACTGCATAGACCCTACAGCAAAAACTAAGAAAAAAAGGAGGGTGCGGAGCTTCCAAGTTAAAACGTATATAATGTTTCATTAAACATATTCACCAAGGCACCAAGCATGAATATAACTTATACCATTCTATGTAACATAAAGGCAAAAAAAAAAAAAATCAATGAAGTGGAATGCAATACATGTAAGAATGCAACCTGACCATAATTTTGAGCAGAGGGATGAACATTTTTGAAGAAATGGATAGAGTAACTTTGGAAATAAGGCTTACCTTCCTCTTCGTGTCAGAGCCAACTCTAAACAACAGAGACCAATAAAAACCCATTTCTAAAATGTAGTACCAGTACTGGGATGGAAGCAAGGGCTGGGGAAAAGAAAAGAACTCATTAGTCGATTATTTAACTGCTCTTTAATTGGATAAGTCACACATTTCAACGCATGAAAACTGACTGCAAACATCTACTTACATTGCCACAAAATCCCATCAAACTACAATGATGTGTATTTCAACTTCCAAAAAGGAATTGGAACTGGAGATACTGTTTCAAGGCATTTTATTTTTTAAAAAAATAATCAATTATTCCCAAATCAAGTTAGACACTTTGTTTTAAGACACAACGAGACCACTTCGTGGATGAATAACGGTTTAATGCTAAGTGAAGTAAGTCATTCTACGAAAGACACACTGTATATCCCTGCTCAATATATACTGACTGTCTGCACTCTAGGGCACAAACTGATAGACCCAAAGATGTTATGGTAGGGGAAACAAGTGTGGACATCAGACACTACAGGGGAGGAGGTGGTGGGAGGGGCTTAGGGGTTGGTGGGAGGGGCTTAGGGAGGAAGTACTTGACAGACATAAGAATGTAGTTCTCCAATAGAAAAGGTGTATATGGTAATATCCTTGATTTTTTTTTTTTTTGGAGAAGATTTTTCACTATAGGGTACGTGCACTCGCCAGACAGACAGAGAGAGACATAGAGACAGAAAGCGAGAAATCACCCCCCAGGGGGGATGGTCACGCCGCAATCCCTTCTCCTCCATTCTCCTCTCGGGATCTTGGGCACGCACGCACACGCGCCCGGCATGAGTTTTAAGCCACCAGGTCTGGGACGTGAACCGCAGTCGACTACATGGGAGTCCAGCGACATAGCCATTACGCTAACTGCTGGTCCTTTTTTTTTCCTTTTGAAATAGGGCATGTATGCTCACAAAGATAGGCAGAGAGAAACAGAGAGAGGGAAAGTGAGAAATCACCCCCCGGGAGAATGGCCACGCCGCAATCCCTTCTCCTCCATTCTCCTCTCGGGACCTTGGGCATGCACGCACATGCGCCCTGCGTGAGTTTCAAGCACTCAGGCACTGCTGTCAGCCATGTGGGAGTCCAGTGCCTTCACCACCGTGCCACCTACGGGCCCCAGGAGAGGACTTTTTTTTTTTTTTTGAGAGGTTTTCGCTATAGGGCATGTGCGCTCGCCAGACAGACAGAGAGAGAGACATAGAGACAGAAAGCGAGAAATCACCCCCCAGGGGGAGATGGCCACGCCACAATCCATTCTCCTCCATTCTCCTCTCGGGATCTTGGGCACGCACGCACGCGCGCCCGGCATGAGTTTAAGCCACCAGGTCCGGGACGCGAACCACAGTTGACTACATGGGAGTCCAGTGATGTAGACATTACGCCAACTGCTGATCCCAAGGACAGTAATTTTTAAAAATAAACTTGATTATCCCATAGAAAAGTTAAGAAGGGAGTAGACAGGGAAATGTAACAGGTGGTAGAAATAAAAAATGAAGAAGATGGCAGATTTAAGCCCAAATACAGAATTACATAAACTAGAGGCATGAAAGAAATGCTTGGGCTATATATAAAGATGAATGAAGTCAAGCAGGAAAGGGCCAAAGGATGACAAAGTAGTGGACAAAATGCCTTTTGTCTGAGGGACAAAAAAAATCCGAACAGGGGCTAGCAGGTGGCGTAGTGGTTAAAGGTGCTGGAGTCAAACTTGGCCGACCATGGCTCGAGTCTTGGACTTGGCCACTTGCTTTCTCACTCCCCCCCACCCCCCGCTCTGGTCAAAACATCCGAGGGACTTGGCCGTGGAGGTCAGAGAAGGACTGTATCGGAAGGGACTCACCTGTTTGGGATAGCCGTTCCAAACTTCCCATAGGTCGTACACCCAAGGTTTCTGGGGAAAAAAATATATATAATTAAATAAGTAAAGAGACAAAAACAAGGAGCCAAGAAAGAAGACATCTGCTTGTTAGAGTCCAGTAATGTCAGCAGAAAATGTAAGCTCTTCCTGGAGGCATTGAATGCAAACAAAGATTCACAGGAAGACACATTTTTGTCTCATTATGTTACTTTTTTTTAGGGGGGGAGAGGTTTTTGCTACAGGGCGCATGTGTTCACCAGAGAGACAGAGAGAGACAGGGAGATAGAAAGCGAGAAATCACCCTCCAGGGGGGATGGCCACGCTGCAATCCCTTCTCCTCCATTCTCCTCTTGGGATCTTGGGCACGCATGCACATGCGCCCGGTGTGAGTTTAAGCCACCGGGTCCGGGATTTGAACCACGGTCAACTACGTGGGAATCCAGTGACATAGCCATTATGCTAACTGCTGGTCCCACTCTGTAACTGTTTACCCATATTGTTATCTATGAGGTCATCGGAAAAGTCATGATGTATTTTTCTTTTTCTGTGCAAAATATATCGTTAATTTACCAACAACCCAATAATACCCCCATGACATTCACTACTTGTCATGAGGCTGAGATCATTGAACAGTGCTGTCTCATAGAGAAAATTATTTCAAACAAATGATTTACCAGCAAAATGATTTCTGAACCAATTCGATCATTGCTTCCGTAGCAATCATTGAAATAGCTATTGCAAAAAGGTATTTGAGAGAAATCTTACCTCTTGAGAGAAATCTTCAAAACTGGCTATCTGATGTTTGAAAAATTATTTTACTATTCATTTTTATTTATCTATTTGTTGTGATGTGCAAACCACTGGGTCTGGGACTCGAACTATGGTCAGCCAGGTGGGAATCCAGTGTCTTAACTATCACACCACCTGCTGGTCCTCGAAACGGGCTATCTTAAAGTGTGATCTCGTAAAGGTATTCACAGACGAGAATTTTACAAACAAAGCACGTTCCAATAAAGAATATCAAAATACAACTTACGTCATAAAGAAATACAACTCCGGCAACAGTAATTACGAAGTAAAACGCAAATCTCCAGCTGTCAAAAGAAAAAAAAAAGAAACTACTCCCAGGTAGAGGCAAATGGCATCTGAAGAGAAATGGAATTGATACTGATGTGGTAAAGTTCGTAAAGAACACACGCACCAGAGTCAGGCGATCTAAGTTCGTATCCTGGCGTCACTTAATAGACAGCTACAAACTTAAGGAAGTCTTTTTAAAAAATATATTTTTATGTTTAGAGAGAGTGTTGGTTGTTTTTTTGGTTTTGTTTTTTGTTTGTTTGTTTGTTTTTTTACTATAGGGCACATGCGCTCGCGGGAGAGAGACAGACAGAAATCAAGAAATCACCCCCGCTGTGGGAGTTGGCCACACCACAATCCCTCCTCCCTTCTCCTCTCAGGATCTTGGGCATGCATGGCATGAGTTTTAAGCTGGTGGATCCAGGACTCGAACCATGGTTGATTATGTGGGAGTCCAGTGATGTAACCATCAGTCCATCTGCTGGTCTCTGTAACTTTTTTTTTTTTTTTTTAGAGAGAGAGAGAGATTTGTTATAGGGTGCATGCATGCACTCACCAGAGAGACAGAGAGAGATAGAGAGACAGAAACCAAGAAATCACCCCTCGGGAGGATGGCCACACCACAATCCCCTCTCCTCCAGTTTCTTTGGGCATGCACACGCACACGCATTCCCAGTGTGTTTCAAGCTGCCAGGTCTGGGACTCGAACCGCAGTCATCTATGTGGGAGTCCAGTGACGTAACCATTATGCAATCTGCTGGTCCCCCAAACCGCAGCATCTGGGAAGCTTTGGCTGTCCTTCTTACCATGCTTCCTGGAACTTCTTCAACCGGCAAGGCCTGTCTTGGTTCCGCCGACTCCTGAACCATCTTTCAACCTGGCGCTCTGTCAGGTTACACTTCTTCGCCAGTCCGTAAATATCACCCTGGAAACGGATGAAATGAATGAATGCATGGAAAGGGGCAGAGTGAGTCTGGCAGGGCGCTGAGGGACAAGGGGACAGGGTGAGGAGAGCTGTGTATCAACGAGGGGGAAGTTCCCCCATGAGGCCTTGACCTAAGGAATTGACCTCTTCTGCTTATAGAATCACAAACACTGTCACACACACACACACAAATACCAAAACACAACAGTGGGGGGAGAGGGGGCCAGGAGGGGGCATGGTGGTTAGGGCACTGGGCAGGCCACCTGCAGTTCGAGTCCTGGACCTGGCAGCTTTCTTTCTTTCTCTCTTTCTCTGTCTCTCTCTGGTGAGTGCACGTGCCATGTAGCAAATTAAAAAATAATAATTAAGAGGCCAGCAGGTGGTATGGTGATGAAGGTGCTGGACTCCCACATGGCTGACCATGGTTCAAGTCCTAGACCTGGCAGCTTGCTTTCTCACTTTCTCTCTCTCGCCCTCTCTGTCTCTCTGTTGAGCATGTGTGACTAACAGAAAATTAACAAACGATAATAATAGTAATAATAATAAATAAAATTAAATCATTCTTTTTAAAAATAATAATAAGCAAAATTAAATCATTCTTTTTTTATTTAAATAATTCTTTTTTTTTTTTTTTTGGAGGGGTTTTTGCTATAAGGCACGTGCGCTCATCAGACAGAGAGAGAGAGACAGAGAGACAGAAAGCGAGAAACCATCCCCAGGGGGGATGGCCAGGCCGCAATCCCTTCTCCTCCATTCTCCTCTCGGGGATCTTGGGCACGCATGCACACGCACCCGGCGTGAGTTTAAGCCACCGGGTTCGGGACGTGAACCGCGGTCGACTATGTGGGAGTCCAGCGACATAGCCATTATGCTAACTGCTGGTCCCAATAGGGGGACCGTTTTTTAATAGGGAGAGAACGTTAGTATCTCAGCTCTCTGACTTACCGAGAAAGATCAAGTTGCACAAGTTGGTAATAGCCCACGCGTTCAAGCTCCCTAGGTGAGCTAACTCAGCTCTAACTGAGATGTATTGGCTTGCTGGGAAAGTCATGATGCACTTTTGCATAGAGAAACACAGGGGCCAGTGGGTGACATGGTGGTTAAGGCGCTGGACTCTGACATATGGCTGAGCATGGTTCGAGGCCCAGACCTGGGGGCCTGCTTTCTCGTTTTCCCTCTCTCTCTCTCTGTCTGGACAAATTGTAAAATAATAAGTAGGGACCAACAGTTGACATAATGGCTATGTTGCTAGACTTCTGGACTACCACATAGATCACCAT